AAGTTGTTCTGTTCTTTATAGCTGATTGCATTAGTATAGAATTTATCTTTCTTCCTTTGTTATGCATTGTAAGAAGAAAGATAAACTCTAAACTCTACAATGCAGCTAGGATGAGAAACTGATTGAACGAATGAATATGCTCTCTCTCTCTCTCTCTCTCTCTCTCTCTCTCTCTCTCTCTCTCCCCTCTCTTTCCTCCCCCCTCTCTTCCCTCCCTTCCCTCCCCTCCCCCTTTCTCTCTCTCTCCCCCCCTCTCTCTCTTGTTCGCTCGATCATATCGTGCAATTGTGATTTGAATCCCTGCACATGTGTATTATGTACACATAATACTATAAGACGTATTAAATAATATATTTTTTAATTTTTATTCTTGTTCCATATAAATATATAAATATATACAGTTTAATAGAGTAAATATAGAAAAAGTTATTAAAAAATTTTAAACTCCTCCCATATTATGGGAATAATTGTAACCGGAAAAAAACCGTTAAAAACTGTAATTTGTATGGTTTTGGTATTTTTTCCCTAATTAACTGAAACTGAAACCGAAACACTTATCCGAAGTTTTATAAAACCGTAGTCAGAATTGAACTAAAAAAACGTTTTGATCTCTAGTTGCATACATGCGAGAAATTTTATCATAATAAAGTTACTTTTTATTTATTGTTATTTCGATAACACTAAATAACAAATTTTGATCAACATTTTTTTCACGATTTAATAATAGATTTTTATTTTTTATAATTAACTGAAAAAGTATGCTTTTCAAAAACTTCCTTTTATTTTAAAACTTCCTATTACTTTTTAATTTTTAAAAACTTTGCTTTGAATGTCTTATGTAATAATGTTAATTCGTAATAATATAATGTAATATACAATGAATTACTAAAGGTATATGTATATTACAGATTATTATTTTTAAAACGAAACGAAATACGAAATTTTTTTTATTATCTGTTTATTATTAAAGGTAATATTATATGAAATTAATTTCTTTCTAGATAAAATTTCTAATAAATACGATTTTCGATAACTAAATAATTCATTTTGTATAGCTGCGAGAAATTTAAATATTTTCTTATTTGATATGAAATTTCTTTTAATGTTTACATACAATTTTATATGTGATAAGATAATAATAATATTTAATATCAAAAAGTTACATTGATTTATAAGGTTTCTATTTCAACAATAATGATGCTTATATATTTTATTCAATAAAGTAAAAGAATAAAGTTGTAAATTGATTCAATTTGTAGAATAGTTTAAATAGAATTGTTTAAAAAATAAGAGCCTTGAGTTTTCAAAATCTATAGATGATGAAAGAATTACATTCAGGTATTTAGAAAGATTTATCTTATAAACAGAAGATTTATCTTACAAACCAGTATAATATAAACTAATTTAATTACGTTGCTATTATCCGCAGGACAATTGATAAATATCTTTATTAATCTTCATAAATATAGTTTCAGTGTAATTTGCATTCGAATAAATTATTCAGTAATTAACAGGGAATGTTCTCACTGCTTGTTAGCTTAATCAATCGTTAACAATGATAAATGCTATTATTCGGACGAAAGCTCGATAGTGATGGAACGGACGGTTTTGACGCCTTCGAAAATTCACAATTAAAGCTCAATTGTTAGAGTAGCAAGTTATTGCGTAAACATGCCGTTCTCTACGGAAAAGTAAATTGCCGAGAGGATAGATAGTAGGTCGGAGATTATAACGACAAAATAACAAATGACGTATTGGCCGGACAAGAGTGTAATTTTTAAGTTTAATTCTGCGGTTAAGTTTAATTCTCCCATGTAACAAAATGGGTGGTGGATGCCATCGCCCTGCGCTATGAACCCGATATATTTTACGGCAAAAAACAATGGACCGTTATTTCGTTTTCAATGATGTTTAACAAATGATTTTCACGACTAGATAACTTTGTTTACAAGAGTTTAAAAACGATTATTATACATAACGACAGATTAGATTTTTGCGAGATTTAAAGCGAGAATCTTAGCATTATGTACTTCGCAGCAGTTTCGGATTTCTTTACTGGTGATATGCAAATGTAATAGAATTAACAGTGGCTTCTCCCTGTATGTAGGGGACGAAGAGTGGGACGACGATAACGAGCAGAATGTCCTGGAAGCGGCCGAACAGGATAACGAAACGACGACGATTAAGCGTGAGTGTTATTTGTTAGACTGCCAGCTCTCATAGACTTTTCTTTAGTATTTACGTACAACAGGTGGCAACGTTTGCACAAGTGAATTATACAGAATAAATAGAAGGTGTTTTCACTTATTTTAACACACTTTATATAATAAAAATTGGGAAAATTGTAATATAGAAATTTCAACCTACATTAAATTGTTTGTGGTGGATTACACACAATTTATTTACTTTTCACTCGATAAATAAATATTTACGACATATAAATATGATATTAAACGAAACAATTTTATTTATTGAATATATAAATTAAATAAATTAAAATTAGATTCTTTGAATAAAAAATAATTACATCACATATATTTCAGAGGATGATGAAGAAGAGGATGAAGAAGAAGAGCTACAACGAGCATTTAGCCGTCAGTCAGAGGGTAAGATATATTTAGAATGATATACAAATAATGAAATGTTGTAACTGCTTCTTGTCACTTGAATCGTAATATTTGTTGCGAGCATTTGCATAATATTTTTAGCATCTGATTTAAATTCATATCTTATTCCCGTAATACAAGTGACATTAGTAATACAAGTCGAAATTTTTCTAATTTCGTTATTATTTATTATGTGAGGATTGTATTCTAAATACATCGATGTTCAAGGGGATTCTAAAGATGATATTTTTTCATATTTTAAGTAGCATTTAGACGATTACATGTCTTTACTGACACATAGACGATTTACGTGTCTTTACTGACGTATCTTTACATCAATATCTCGCTCACGTATGTCATACATACACATTTTTGTATAACAATTACGTTTTAATTAGACATCTAAGTCCAATTTTAAGAATCCACTTTAAGAGTCCACTTTACGCTGTTTCTTCATGCAAATTATTAGTCTGTAGATTACTATTTAAGTATAGATTGCACAGCTTTTATATGAAGCAAATGTTGTCACGATGTGAGAGTTCTGTCATATTGGATCAAGAAATGGTAAAGAAGATCTCAATTTTGAAATTTTTTGTCATCTTCGGCATAGACTTCACCTCACAGACACATACTAATGCGTATACTTTAATCCTGGAAAAGGATTCTTGAATCTGTAAAAAAGAAAAAAGGTAATTGTTATTCAAAAATTATATTTTAGTTTAGTTGGTAGATGACTTTAAAATCCCTTTAAATTATGTTATTTTGACACTAAGAAATGTTGAATATCAATTTAACACAAAATTTTTAAATAACATAATTACATTATATTAAATTAATATTCGAATATATTAAAAAATTCAACGCAAAAATTTAACAAGAAATGAACTATTTCCAATACAAATACAAAATGTTTTTTTATTACGTACGTATAAAAAAAAACCACAAAGGAAAAATGACACAAATCAAAATAGGGACAGAGTTTTTAAAGATAACTTAAATTAATATATTATATTATAAATTTCTAGAGAATTTTAAATAAACAATTTATGTTATTTTAAATTAGCTTATATTTAATACTGCAATAATAAATAATTAATTTTGAAATATATAATTTTTTTTTCTTTCTCCTAAACAATTTTATATTTTTTACTAGTGTCATTTTTCTAGCAAGAATATGACGAACATCTTTCATAACGTACAAATTTTTTCTATCAAAATTTGCAGTAAAATCGATTGCTTTGCTGCGCAATGAGAACTATCCCGTATACACAAAACCGGCCTTCTTTGCAACAATGCGAAGAAATTGCGAGAGAAAGAGAAAGAATGAGAGAAAGCCGCTCGGTGCATTCTGGTGCATTACTAGAATTGCCCTACGGGCACGCAACAATGCGTCGCGATGTATTGTCATTGTTGTTCGAAGGTGTTCAAGAAGCGCGATCCCGCCATAAATCCCATGAATATGGGATTCCTTGGTCCCTTGGGAGACGTGCAGCACGTAGCTATCCCAAGCACGAATGCATGTACATCGAACAATGCCGACATCGCACATTTTTCGCCTCTTTCCCGCGCGCGGATGATGAGGCGTGCGTTGGCTTTTTGTCGACAGAATGACAGGTTTTTAACTCCTCGTTCACGCGGTTGCAACCGAATGTATGCATGTTCGATTATTTTATCGTGAAGCATTTCATCGGTATTCGAAGTCAATGAAAAATGCAGAACGTACATACATTTCGCAACAATATATTTTTCGTTCTTTTGAATACAATTATTATAAATGTCTTTTTTTAACATAGTCAAATGTTAAGTATCCATTATTCGAAATTTTCTATATTAAAATTCGCTCCGTAACGCTTTCTTTCGCTTTTGATTTTTTAGTTCCCTTTTTAGTTCGATCAATTCTATGAAAAATAATAGGAACAAATCCATAATTGAAATTTATTTTAAACAATATAAAAAGATAAATATAGGTTAATAAGAGTCAGCAACGATAAATGCATAATTATTTAGTGAACAATCTGACTCTCATTAGCCTACTACATTTTCTTTTCTTTTTGTATCGTTTAAAATTTGAGAGTCCTAATATTATTATTGTTATTGAAATTTATTTCTACTACTATTTATTTCTACATTTATCTTTTTGTATTGTTTAAAATTCGAAAGTCCTAATATTATTATTGTTATTGAAATTTATTTTATTGCAATTATATATTTAATTTTCTACCGTAAATAAATTTTCTATTTTCGCCTCCAAGACAGCTAACGAACGGCCAACAGATTAACCGGATAGCATCTCTCGCGATGTCTACTTTTCGTTTTCTTTCGTAGTCTCCCGACAATTTCTATCCGAACTATTTTTGCGCTAAGTAAAATTTCCGCATCCCTTGTGTGCGCATAGCGTGTACCCTACGGTACCGCCCTTGTTACGTAACTAGCGAAACTGTCTCGAAAGATTCGTACCTTTCCCAAGTATCCAGCAGTTTTCCTCCCCAAGGAGGCCAAGAAGATCAAACCTTTATCCGCTCCCCCGTACGTACGGCACGATTATTATTTCAGGTTACCTTTCGCAAAGTGTACTTGCGCGCGCGCTTTATACTCGGAGGTAAAACCAACTTGGAGGAGCTCGCGAAGAACGAGGTTGCCTCCCGCAGGAGGCGGCCCGTACTCCCACGGGAGATGCCTCGTCCGTCTGCTTATCTGAAAACATCGAGCTTCCTTCGGCTTCTTTAATACTCCGTGTACCCACGCCGCTCATTAAACCATTGGGACATCGTTATTTTCTCCCTTTTTTTCCTCGTTTTTCAACCAGTGAACACACTAATGCCTTCGTTTCGCAACAATCGGTGAACATTTTCAAAGATGGCTTTTAACTTTCTTTAAATGTACCTTCCGTATTTAATCTTTTTAAACATTTCTTTTTAATGTGCCTTCTTTAAGGATCTATATGTTTCTCCGAGCTTTTGTCCTTAAATATGTAATACTCTTGAATGTCCTAAAAAGATAAATTTCACTGTTTGATGATAAAATCTCTATTTGAGAGAGATTTGAAATCCTTTGAACTTACATTATTTTAATATGACAGAATTATAAAAGCACTTTAAAAACTAAATATCAGGATTGAAAAGTTACATTATAAAACAGTAATTCATTACTATTATCATTTTTTCCTCTAATTTATTACCGTTACCCTCATTACTGATTAAATAACCTTTTATCGTTATTAAAAAATTAATGAGTCATTATAATTTCTATTACTTTTTTTCATCACATTTTGATTATTTTTTTTTTACACTTTTTCAAAATACATTTTTTCTGTGTGCTTTAATTAAGGATAGGATAATGACTTTATAAAAGTAATTTGTTATTGTTACTGATTTACAAAAGTAACTTATTACCGTTACTGTTATTTAAAAATTAATGAGTTATTCTAAATTTTACTTATTCGTCGCTTATTTTAATAACCTTTTTTTTACAGTTTCTTTTAGAATTGTTTATCTAATCACTAATTAAAGTTGAGAAAGTTATTTTATAAAAGTAACTCGTTACCGTTACTGTTGATTTAAAAAAATAACTTGTTACCATTATTATTATTCAAAAATTAATGAGTCATTAAAATTTTCATTATTTTTTTGATAATTTGATGTACCGCGTTTTGATAATCTTATTTGTATATACTTTTTGAACTATTTTTATTATTTACCAGGTTCAATAGAGGTCTATGTATAATGGTTATGGTATCACAACATGATCAAATATAATATTCTCTTCTCAGACTTGCTGTTGGCTCAATACTCCCAAAAATGTAAGAATAGTGAGTTTTGTATTCAAAATAATGAGAGAAAAGTGAATTTTTTTGAAATGTTGAGCTATAATAAGCTATAATAAGCTATAATAAGCTAATTTTAGATTTGATTAAAATTGTATAGAACATTATCTAAGGAAATTGGTATTATTTTGAATATAATATTTTATCCTGTGATAGTGATATATTCATTATTTAATATTCCATTAAATCTAAAGGTGTTTTTGAATTTTAAAAACAGTATCGTTAAAAATACACGTTTCAACACGTTCGATAGAGAGAACAACAAATTTTCACAATAATACAATAGAATTTAAATTCAAAAACTGAAATGACTTAGGAAACATGTCTGGAGACAAAGTTAATATTTTTTAAAAATTAAATGTATCATTATTTAATTTATATTTAGTTTATTAAGATTTTATAAGTTTATTTAAGTCTTTCACAACCAATAAAATTAGAACACATTTAAAAAAACTTTACTTAGAATAATATTAACAATAAGTTTTTCGCATTTCTACAAGTAATATCATTTTCTAATAAGTTTTTCATACTGATAAAGTTATTACTTTACATGGCACTTTACATATAACAATATATAATACTACTTTTCATGACTACCGCTCAGTATATTGATTTAACTTATATGAATTGAAATAACTGTAAATTATAATGAAATACTTAAATGAAAAACCTTTCTTACTCTCTAAATTTCATGGAGTGAAATTTTCGAAGAGATAATTTAGCCTGTTTTGAAAAAAGAGTGCAAATACGGCCACTCTTATTCAAGAGTGGTAGATTTCCGCTCCTTTTAAGTGAGATTTACTCTTTTGAAATGAAATTCACTCCATAGGAATGAAATCTCAATCTCTTTTTTGGAGTGAGGCTCCATCTATCCTGATATTGTACTAAATAGTCAGTAATAAAGTAAAAGAATCCCGCTATTATATATTCAAATTATTCAAATCTACTCAGAAAGGGGATAAAGAAACGCAGAAAAAAATTTTAAAAAAAACATGATTTATTAAATAGAAATTATAGTAAACACAGAAATAATACAATTTTAGCGGAAAAAAGTGAGAACAATTAGTTTTTACTGAAAAAGTGAACAAAGTGAGCCTTCTTCAAAATAATGAGTAAAAGCTAGAATAATGATTCGGCGGCAAGTCTATTTTTTTTAAAATTCGCTTACACACATTCC